TGGGAGCATATTTTGAATAAAGCTTATTTTATGCATAAATTAAACTCATTATAAATGTAAATATTTCAACTTTGATTTAAACAAATACAAAAAAAGTATGATTTTCACAGCTTGAGATTTAGGGGTTCTCATTGCCTTAGATTTAAATAGATCATAGCATAATCCTTGTAAATATCAAAAGTCTGAATACTTAATGTTTTTTTTTTTATTATTGTGGAACTGCAGTGTGAACTGATTCAGTAGAGTGGTCCATGTAGTATATTTCATATCCATCATGAAGATTAAGTGTTATAATAATAGTATGCCTGATAATAATAATAATAATAATAATAATAATAATAATAGATGAAATGGAGAACACCTGACCTTCATAACTTATTCCAATGAGAATGGCACACATAAGAAGCTTTGAATTGATTTTTTAAAGAATGATTCACTGAAAAATCAGATTTACTCAATTTTACGTTACCTCATAGTCGGGCAGCCAAGACTTGATTAGAGCTAAAAATGCTAACGTAGTTAACAAGTAATGGAAATCTGTGTCGCCAACAATCCTTTTTGGTCACAAAGACTTCTGTTTTATTAGGCTCGTAGCTTTACTGCAAAACTAAAAAAGCAAACTTAGTACACCAAACATGTCTTGGCTTACCGGATACATCTGTGGTAAAGGGAAAATCTCTTAAGAGTGCAGCATGCTAGCACTCGATCAGGCTCTCTGTATTCCCACTGCTGTGTTCTCAGTGTGACCTGGTGGCTGCTCTCAGCCTAATGCACAACACAGTGCTAAATGAAGCCTAGTGGGAATTCAGCACTGGTGGCACTGTAGAAGATTCAGACTCCAGCACTAAAGACATGCTGGCGAGCTTGTAGTCACATCCAGTAATTTAGGCTATTTGAACAGTAGGATAATGGAAACTGGAATAGAAGTGTTGGCTATGATCTCAGCCCTGAGATGAGGTAAAAGAGAGAGCAGTGTTCAAGTTGTTTTCCAATGCTTTATAACAGGTGAAACCTTTTACTTAATGATATGGAAATATCCAAAGTGTAATTTGTCATCAAATGTCTGTGTAATGTGATCTGTTGACTTTTATCTCCTCATTAAACTTGGCAATTTTGACTTGTTTATTTACAGATGAGAGCTGTATGTGCTAAAAGACGTGCACATGCAGTAGAAATATAAACCAAAACAGTGGAAATCAGAGTAAAAGTTACATCAGGTCCCAAACCGATTCCTCACCTGAAAAACAAAGAAACATCCAAACAAATTACTGTCTACAGCAGGCAGGCCGTCAGTGACTGTACTCTTGTCAGATTTTATGTGATCATAAAATGAGGAAGACAGGTTCTCAAATACACATTTAAAAAAGATGGTCCTTCAAAGGTTCTTCAGTAAAGAAAATGGTGCTATTTAGAAGCATGAACACTCAATGAACGCTTGACATGAGTAAATGGTTCTTTGCCTCATAAAATGTTTCTTCAGATCGATGGAGAATGTACTGTAGATGGTTCTATATAGAACCTTTTCTACAAGGGATCTACATAGCAAAAAACTGGTTCTTCTGTTTTTACAAACTTGACATCACAACAATAGAAAAACTCTTTTTGGTTCTATATACAGCATTACACATGTTTTTAACAAGGATTCTAGAAAACAAAAATATGTATTACAATGTGGACCAGAAACTGCGTAGTTGAGAACATTTTCCCCAATGGGCTCTTCGTGGATCAGATACTGAGATCTCTGACTACACCCCAATTAATGAGCCTCCATTCACCTCAAAACACCCGAAAAGTCCCCTGTGTGACATCTTACCTTGCTGTGGACTGCTTTGAGCTGAATGCAGTGCCTCAGCGCTGGGGCTCCCCGGTGGCCGTCTAGAACACACGACTGATTTCTCAGCCGCCGCTGCTCCAGCCACAACACAGCCTTACCAAACTCCACTAATGATGTAGGAGGAATCCAGTCAGACTCAGAGAGTCTGAACTCTCTGTTCTTTTACATAGTCATTTAAAGCAGACTTTTTAGTGGATGACATAGTATAGATTAACACTTAGTAAAGAGAGTGAATGCATTAATAGGAGGTCAGGGCAGAGACAGTGAAGATGTATTTAAATGTGCACTTATGTTGTGTTGACCTGCGGTCTATCTACTGCGTGTGATAGTACATTGATTGTTAGCTAATTGTTAATAGTTGATTAGTTGTTCTAATGTCATTCTGTGGCTGTTTTTTGGATCTGTAGTCCAGTGGCTTGTTGGCCTGTAGCTGTGTTTTTGAGCTCAGTCCTATGCTGTGTTCAAAATTGTCCCTGATCACTATTCCCAATACTGGAAAATCAAAAGCACTACAAAGAACAATACTATAGGGAACAGAAATTGTCCCTAATCACTACTCCCTACATTGGAAAGTCAAGCGCACTTCTGTAGAGAATGGAAATGGTCCCCTATTTCCCACATGGGAAAATCAAAAACGCTGTATAGAACCCTATTGTAGGGAACAGAGTTGGCCCCCTAATCACTATTCCCCACACTGGAACATCAATGGAAAATATTGTATGGAACACAAAATGGTCCCTGATTACTATTATCATTGGAAATTCAGGAGTTTCACTATGGTAAGGAACAGAAATGGTCCCTTAATCACTGTTCTCTATGCTATTCTCTACACTGTATATACATATACATACATACATATACAGTGTAGTGTGCACACACACACACACACACACACACACACACATATATATATATATATATATATATAGCATTCTCTATCATTTTCTTTTTTGTCTCTTTTTATATCTACACATTCTCTCTTTTTGTTGCCCCTTTTCCCTTTAACCCTAAACAAGCCAATATACCATTGCATTCTATCTCTCTCTCTCTCTCTCTCTCTCTCTCTCTCTCTCTCTCTCCCTTTCTCTCTACCTGAATCTCCTTCTCTTTATGTCTGTCACTTTTTCTTTGAAACTCTCTCGTCTGTCCTTTTCTTTCTCTTTCACTCTTTCTCTCTCTCTACCCCTGCCTCTCCCTTCTCTCCCTTTCTCTCTTTCATGCTCTTTCTATTTTTTTCTGTTTACTTTCTTTCCCTTCATTTTATATCTCTTTAATTTGTTTTTTTTTTCCTTGTAAACCTGTATCTCTTTCCAAATTAGTCAGTACAATCTCTCTCTCTCTCTCTCTCTCCAACTGAATCTCCTTCTCTTTATGTCTCTGTCAATTTTTCCTTGAAACTCTCTCCTCTGCCATTTTCTTTCTTTCACTCTTTCTCTCTCTCTAACCCTCCCCCTCCCTTCTCTCCCTTTCTCTCTTTCACGTTCTCTCTCTAGTTTTATTTTCTGTTCTTTCTTTTTATTTTACCTCTTTTATTCTGTTTTTTCTTAGAAACCTATATCTTTCTAAATTAGTCAGTACAATCTCTCTCTCTCTCTGTCTCTCTCTCTCTCACTGTCCCTCCCATGTCTCTCCTTTCCTCTCCATCTTTCACTGTCATTGTAATTTTCTTTCTTCTTCCTTCTTTACCTCATTCCATTTTCTTTATTATTTGTTTGTTTTTCAGTCTCTCTCCATTACGTTGCTAAAAAAGACAAGATCCATCTTTTAAGCACAGTTCTTCTGCCCATCCAGGCTTTTACCTGTAACTGCATCCTAAGCTGAAGCTTTGGGCAGTGGCTTGCTGGCCTGTCCTGTCCAGGCCAGACTGTCTGACTTGCAAGGCTCAGGCTGGACTCAGATGAAAGGAAGTGAATGAAAGGGAATGGGTGATGGGGCTGGAGCGCTGAGGATAAATTTATTAATGCATACTGACCTCACTTCTCTCTACCATCCTAGACACAGAGATCCGTGCTCACCAGGCTGTGTGCGTGTGTGTGAGACTGGGCCAAGCCTGTTTCAGGCAGACGTGCAGTGATTATATGGCACTTCCCAAGAGGGCTGGGAGAGCCTTTTTCACTGCTCAGCACTGTGAGAAGCCAGCGTAAAGAACATTGGAATGCTGAGGAATACAGTGTTTTAAAGCAAATTGGATGTGAAAGAGACTAAACTACCATGCTATCCTTAGACCTCTGATTATGTGTCCTCATTTTGTAGCTCGCAATTAGCATCCCATCCCATGCTTAGGTCTAAGCAGTTTTGCCTATGGATTTTTTGAAAATCACCCCTCTTGAGGTCTGAAGAATAAATAACAATACAGTGGTATTAAATTGACGTCATAAGACTGGCAACTGTTGTCAAGTGTGGGAGGTAGCCCCTTTCTACTGGCTGCAGAATGGAAACTGACAAAGAGGGGAGAATGTAATTCGCAGCTGTCCACAAAGAAAAGCTTTTGTAAAAAACATTTTGTAAATGTTTTGTAAACATTTTGTAAAACTTCCTTGCTCACAGATGGAAATCCAGTTCCCTGGTTTTGTAAATCATATGCTTTTCCATTGACAGGATTATTTTGTGTGTGCTGTTTGTTGATTGTTCTTGCAATATTGGCTTTTGGAAACTAGACTTGAAGGGGGTCATGATATACAAATGAGGACTCCAACAAATAAGTTATTACTGTATGTTGTCAGCATACTGACCCAATCTCAGACTTTCCAGTGAATTAAGGCACTCGTATGATTCGACAGACATCAATAGTTGGTAATAAATTATAAACAATGCAGGCTAATCTATAACCATGTCACATTATTGATTCACCAATAAACCTGTCATTTTGGTCAAGGCAGTGCAGATCGTTCTTTATCCATGTCTCATCCGGTGTTCACCAGTGTGACTATATTGCTGTATCATAATCATCATATAGCAATATAACCATGATGGAGTATTTTGTACATACCATGCAGCCTTACTGCACATTTCAACTGTGGAAAAGCATTGGACGATCTTTCTTGACAATGTTGCTAAATGCAATAGTTACTGTCTCTTTCGTTATGTATTAATTTCCTGTTACTCGCTAAGGATGATGCTTGTAAAGGCTGTTTCTAACATTGTGTGTTCTCGTTTCTCTCTGCAGGCTTTTGACCACTGTCGGGGCAGACTTTGACTTGAGGACACTCAGGGCAGTGCGGGTCTTGCGGCCGCTTAAGCTGGTGTCTGGAATTCCCAGTAAGTTACTAGACTTTCTTCTTTCTAAACTTTCCCTTTGACTTTGCTTTAACGTGGCACATATCCACAGTGTAATAAAACAACTGAAATAAAAGCAAAGCTGTTTTTATTAGTTTTCAAACATTTTGGTGGCACAAAATAAATAGCACAATACAGTAAGTCTCTCATATCACCTTGCTCTGGTGCAGTATAAGAAGCTTTTTCTTTGAAAAGTACTAGAAGAAATTTCATTAGCAGTAACAGCAAAACAAAATCCACATTTTATAAACCCATCCAATAGACAGGGATACATTTGAGCATTTGAAAAAAAGTGTTCAAGAGCTCCTCTTTCTATGCCCAGGTCTTCAGGTGGTCCTGAAGTCCATCATGAAAGCCATGGTGCCTCTGCTGCAGATTGGCCTGCTGCTCTTCTTTGCAATCCTGATGTTTGCCATCATCGGCCTGGACTTCTACATGGGCAAATTCCACCGCACCTGCTTTAGGAACGACACAGGTACGCAGCACTTTCCACAGGGGTATTTCATGATCTTTTATTTTAGTTTAACTTTTGTTGTCGTCAGTACTGCTTTTCTCAAAAGCTTTGTACTATAATGAGTGTGGCTGGTAAAGAAAGATGGTTCTCATTTTATTGTATATTGATGATGTAGTTTGATGCAGTATGAAACAAAGTTTAGTCCAACTCTGTTGTTCCCAAACATTACCCTGTTTTACTGGATGAATGAACTTTATGATGCAAACATACACTACTGTTGAAAAGTCTGGAATCACGTTGTATTAATCATTTTTTTGTAATTTTAATATACAGTTGTATGTAAAAAGTATTTTTTTTCTGTAAATATTAAAGTAAATTATGTTGTGTTTGAAAAAAAGAAAAAACAGTAATAGTAAGTACTGGTTAGGTAGATCAAGAATTATAATTAGAAATTGTCCATTGATGCAAGTTCCAGACAATAATAATTTCTTTGACTCTCCAAACTTTATGCTAACACTCAACCAAAGCTTGAGTGTTATATGCTAACACAGCAACCATAGACTCCACTAAACAGCTGACCGAAGATCTGAAATCAAGCTAACTGATGCCTCCAGAGCAGGGAAGGCTAAAATAAATGTATCAAAGTGCATCCAGCTCACTTTTTCCACTCTCCTAAATGTCATTAGGAAATGACAGTTAAGGGGAACTTTGGAAGTCAAGGCAAGACCTGAATAAGAAAACTCTCAGATAGAACTGTTATGCTGGCCAGAAAGACAAGTCAAAACCCCTGTATGACAGCAAAAGATCTGCAGGAAGGTTTAGTTGACACAGGGATGGTAGTACACTGTTCTGCTGTGCTGCTTTGCTTGCACAAATGTGATTTGTACTTGGAAACCAGTGCTGTGGAATGATGAAATAAAAATGGAGCTCTTTTCCACCATCACAACAGTATGTTAAAAAGAGTGAAAAAAAGAGTTGAATTTTTGTATAGCAGTTCGAATATTGTTGGCCTATAGCTGCTCTTTTGGTGTTTTACTCACTCAGGTGAGCAGGCGGCTGAGTTTCCATGTGGATCGGAGCCTCCGGCGCGGACATGTGAGATTGGCACACACTGCCGGGAGTTCTGGATAGGCCCCAATTTCGGCATTACCAACTTCGACAACATCCTCTTCGCTATACTCACTGTCTTCCAATGCATCACCATGGAGGGCTGGGTGGAAATCCTTTACAATGTGAGTCTAATGATGTACTATGTAGTGGTTGGTATAGCGTAGTGGGTAACACCTTTGCCTTCTACACTGTAGACTGGGGTTCAATCCCCTGCCTGGGTAAGCACGCTACACTATACCAATAAGAGTCCTTGGGCAAGACTCCTAACACTACCTTCGTCTACCTGTGTAAACTGATCAAATTGTAAGTCGCTCTGGATAAGAACGTCTGCCAAACGCTGTAAATATAAATGTACTAGTTTTGGTTGTTGCTTTAGTGTGACTCATCACTGTAGAGTAAACAGAGTTAAACTTACTTCAATTCATTTCAATTTTGCTGAATTGAATGACCATACAATTAAAATCATATAATCATAATAAGGTAAATAACTCATTATACTGTGTCTTGACGTCATTCAATAGTTTACATCTGTTAGCAAACCCTTGTGCCTGTCTGTTCACTGGAGGACAGAATGGCTGATTTTTTTTAGATCTGATCTGTTATCAGTTCACTAACTCATAATAACACTATCGTCATAGATATAATACGGTTCTCTGGGATGCTGAACTTCACCTGCACTTAGAATGCAAAGAAACACAGATGCTGTGATTTGCTGTATCTGTACTGTATCAGTGCCTTTGTATTTGCTTTTTCAGGACCCTGCTCAAGCACTGTTTACCCATTGGGATTTCAATAGCATTATCAGTCCTGCTTCCGTTCTGCATGTTCCTGCTAGTGGCGGTCTGGTCGTGGATGTGTTTGGTGATTCGTTTTACGCTTGAGTGAATGATTATTTTCTTTATTACTTAAAAGTTCTCATGATCTGGAATAGCTATCTTTATCTGGGCAGAAAAGTAAATTCATATTTTGGTCCAGAATGGTAGAATGGTGCTTTTTACATGGGCATTGCTACAAAAGAACGATGATCATGTGCAGAGATTTCTGGTTGTCATTGCAGCTGCAAGTTGGTGTTTTATGCCAACGTAGCCAGTGAAACAAACATACTCACGAGCAGACTTGCATGAGGCTCCAGGGCTGGTATCTCAGAAGGCTGTATCTCCTTCTTGGCAGGCAGACATGCTTGGGAGCAACATATGCCAATCTGCTGCATCCTTCTGCTGGGTTATGATAAGCCTCTTTTTACCCAGAGCTATCAAACACAGCTCCTTGCCACTTTCTGCTGATCCTGGAGCAGCCCAGGGGCCTCTGAAACCTCCTTGCAAAGTGCATAATATATATTATACACTGTATACCACAGGCCATAATATTCTTAAATAAGGACTCCACCCACTTAGTTTTTTGGTAATATGCTGTGCATGTATATATCTCGCTGCTGTCGGAACAAAACCTCATCATCTCCAAAATGATAACTTTACAGGAGAAAGAAAAAACCTATTTTACTTTTAATGTAAGTCAATGGAACCAGACTTTTTCGCAAGTAATTTTGGGCCATTTCTTTTGGTCCATTCATCATGAAATTAACACACTATGTAAAGGGAAGTGTAGATACAAGTAGGGGGGACCTAATAAAGTGGCCAGTCAGTGTAATTGTATGCAAGACTCATTGCACATTGTTAGTTTTTGATTATTTATGGATTATGTAGATTATCTATGTTCTGATTTTGATTCTGAAAACGTGGCCGTCTTCTCAGACTCAGACTTGATTGACCAAAAGCCTTGACTTGTCAAAGCACCATGATGTCATCTTTAAATAATTGGCTTGTGTTGATTTTTGACTTGAAGATTTACTAACTGAGGTCACTGCTGACCTTATGCTCGGTGCCACAGCAGCGGACACTTATGGAAGTGACTCCAGAGAGTTGGGGTTTGGCCACCTTGCGCCACCATGAATAATCTCTGTTTCTGCCGCCTTAATTACACAGAGCTGCTCCTTCCTCCCATCTGTGCCAAAAATATCATGATTAATCACAATGTCATCGGAGGCTATTACTGCAAAATTTAGCCCTGCACTGCAGGAGGACCATCTATGACCGCTCTGTAATCCATCATGGCCCTGATGTGTCTGGAGGTCTGATGGTCAGGTAATAGGGCACAGAGTGCTTCAGCAGTCGTCACGAGGTCTAATGCACAATGGGTTTGACGAAGATATGAGGAAGCAAAGGAGGGTTGGGCGGGGCCAACATGGGCCCGCACGTCTCATTTCCTGTCATTAAAACTCTTTCGTTCTTCTCATCGTTCACTCCATCCGTCATTCCTAGAGAACAGCTGCTGATGGGTTATGGGGCGAAAGATGAGCTCGAGATGGAGATGTGTGCGCTCTGCCAGGAAGCCTTATCTGTTATCGTTTACATGGCACCCGTATGGTAATGTGATGCTCCGTCTGATGTTTCTGATTAAACGGTCTGCCCTCCTACATCCAGTGTCAGCTGATGGTAAAACTCAACTCTGGAAAACTGAACCGGAGCAGTATGCTCTAGGAAGTCTCTTCAGTTCCCTACTGGTCTGGTCTCAGTGTTGAACTAGAGCTGCACAATGTCAATTTGCTTATCATTATCGCATTATCAGCTTCCACAATACTGATTTTGTAAAAGTCTGCAATATGCAAATGAGCCTTCAACCAATCATGAAATGCTTTATTGTGTGCCGTGAACATCCTGACCAATCAAAGATGTTCTTTGGGCGTTTGAATTAATCCAAAATAATGCAGGCCATTCTAACCAAGTCACCTCAGTGGTTCACTAGAACAGTACTGTGCAACGTCAGAGACCACCCTTCATTTATTAAATTTCCAGTCAAAACAGCCATTAATTACAAGTTATTCATTTTATAGCACCAGGAAAAGAATATGTTTAGAAAGTTACACAGAAGCCCCAACAACTAAACATTTTTCTGTATGTAGTCCACCTTTTACCTTTTACTGCAGCTTCTGTTCTTTTCAGGAGACTCGCTTTAAATCTAGATGGATATTTTTCTCTCTTCTCCAAAGTTTAGCCTTAGGCATTGGTTGCATTTCCTTCATCTTACAAGTAATTCAAAACACATTTTTTGATATTGCGATCTGGGCTCAGGGTTGGACAGTCCATTATTTTGAGAAGACCAGAAGTTTCTTTGATTTGCAACTTTTTTTTCTTTGTCTGTTTCCTTTTCTCAGTAAGGGCTTCTTCTTAGCTACACATCCTTTCAGACTCATAGTGTAAGGATGGACTTAAACACCTGAGGATTTTTTCAGATCTGAAGCAAAAGTGGAGCAATTTCTCCTCTCTCTCAAAGAGGAAAGCTTTAAGTGCTGTTTATCTGATGGTGATTTTTGTGGTCTGCCAGGTCTTGCATGGTACATTTTAGGGCATATCCCGATTACATTATGTGGCAGTTCAATGCAAATATAATTGGCATTTTTTCCAGCTAAACTGTCTATGAGAATTCTGCATTGAAAAATCTTTGACATCTAGGATTTGGCTTGATCTGGCACTGAGAACCAACACTACATATTGCAATTTGGTGCAGTGGTCAAGCAAAGCTGACCAGTGTTTTGAGATTACACTAATTGAATTGTTTGTTTAATCTCTGCTAGACATCTGGTCCTTCGAGTTGTGTGCATGGCTGTCTGAATGACGTGGAAGAAATGGCAGCTAATGTTCTGCTGTTTCCTTCAGGGCTACTGGAACATGACACCATGCCAAGCAGCTAATGGAGGAGCCTGTCCTGTAAGGGGCCTGGGATGCTGTCATTTTTCCATATAACAGAAAGGCAAAGGTGTATCTGCTTTTATATGTAGACTTGGAGAAGTATTACCTGGACTGCCTTATGAAGTTACTGCTCTAAAATGGTTCTTGGCTTACACATATGGTTCTAGCAGAAGCTTTTAATTGATATGGAACCTTTACATAATATGGACACTTCAAAAATGTTCTTCACACTATAAATTACAAATGCAACTGTTTAAAAATGTCAGCTTTAGTTTTTGGTTACAAAGCTTCAGGCCTCTGCTCTTTTAATCTTTTCTGTTTATGCATGATGCATATTTTCAGAGCTAACCTTTATGGTTGCATGGGTAAACCAAAAATAGCCCAGCACATTTCCTTCTGGGGTGAATGTGGGTGGTCCATTTTTAGTAAAGGGCAGTGGGTACCAGCTTCTCTTCAGGTGCCCCTCCTGTCATGGTCGCCCCACTCTCGAGCCAAACTGTGAGAAGACTGTGGCAGAAGAATAATGGTGATAAGAGAATTTTGGGACAGGAACACAGGATAAAATCATCCTATTTTTTGCCTGTTCAGTCAAAAGAGCATTTCTAATTAATGCTGAACAAGAAGGCCTGGCTTACAATGGACATTCCATTTCATCCCAGAGATGTCCAGTGGGACTGAGGTCAGGGCTATGTGCAGGCCACTGGTGTAGAGTAGATAATGAAGCTTGATTCATCACTCCAGATAACACGTTTCCAGAGTCCAATGTATTTACACAATTTACACCACTCTAGTTGACGCTCAGCATTGCACATAGTGATCTTAGGTTTGCATGCAGCTGCTCAGCCAAGTAAACTCATTTCATGAAGCTCCTTATGCACAGTCCTTCTTTTGATGTTGCTTCCAGAGGCAGTTTGGAACTCTGTAGTGAGTGATGCAACAGAGGATAGTGCTCTGTGCTTCAGCACTCAACAGCCCCTCTCTGAGAGTTTGTGTGGTCTACTGCTTTGTTTCCTGAGGTGTTGTTGCTCTTCAGTGCTTCCATTTCACAATAACAGCACCTACAGTTGACCAGAGCAGATTGGGGCAGAAATTTTGTAAACTGATGAAGATGGCATCTTATGACAGTGCCACATTTAAAGTCACTTAGCACTCCTGTATGACCCATTCTACTGCCAGTGTTTGTCTATGGAGACTGCATGACAATTTGCATGGCATGCCACCACCACGCCAGTGTGAGAATGATCCACCACCCAAATAATACCTGCTTTGTCTTGACTACAAAGTGAACCTATATGGTAAGTGGAGTTGATAAAATGGACAATGAGTGTGGATACAAGGTAGGGGTATCTAATAAAGTGCTCAGTGAGTGTGTATTT